AGGATGCGGAAAATCAAGTGTCACAGGATCCCAGAACGGTTTGGGTTGGAAAGGACCTTAAAGATCATCTTATTCCAACCCCTGCCATGGGCAGGGACACCTTCCACTAGCCCAGGCTGCCCCACCCAACCTGGCCCTGGACACTTGCAGGGATGGGGCAGCCACGGCTTCTCTGGGCAAACAGTGCTTAGGAAACCCAGCTTGGACTGGGAATAGAGCCTGGGCCAAACAATGGGCTCATGTAGACATTGCCAGTTCCCTCACCTGAGCATATAAACCCCTTCTTTTTGCCAGAGATCCCTTTTGGAATAACCCACACGTTTTCCTTGTTCCCAGTGATACAAAAGCGAGGGAAGGCACCACAACGCAGACAAAAACCAGTGTGAGATATTTTGAGGTTATCAGGTCTAACCCCAGTTTCAGAGGGTCGGGAGCACCGAGCAGATACAGGTAAAGGAGCAGCTGCTGTTCCCATCCCCAGGCCAAGGCTGGCATTCCCATTCCCAGGCCAAGGCTGGCATCCCGTGGCAGGGACCGGCATCGCGCCGCTCCAGCGGCTCCGGGAGCCAAACACAGTCCCAGCTACTTGTGTTAATCCTTTCTATATTTTCCCACCTTCTGTGGCTAGAAAGCCAGGAATTCATTTCATCATAGAGACTACAACTTTTTTTTTTTTTTTTTTGATGGCTTGGAGCAAATCAACACCTCACTGCTTTTATCTCTCAGAGTGTTTAAAAAAGGGATGGCTGGGAAAACACTCCTAAACAAACGCAACCAGGCTGATCGTCTCAGCACCTAATTCCGTGGGTTTGGCTTGTCAGGAGGTAGAACAATCCACAGGCTAAATACTACAGAGAAAGCCCCTAAATAAACTTTTTCCTGGCAAGTTTATTTGCTGGCATTTGTAAATCCATGGAGGAAGCGTCAAGCAATGAATAGAGCCTGGGTTCTAATTAGAGCCTTCTGTTTGAAAACAGCCTTTCTTTAAACACTACGGGACCACTGGTAGTGATGGAATATTCCCTAAAAATAAGAAAATGGTTCATTAGCCTTCATGGAAAGAGAAGATCAATCTGCCCTTGTGAAAGTTAATGAATACACAGAAATATCACATCCTGACCCCTGATCCCAATGCCTGAGGCAGCAGGATTATTATGCACTCACTGGAATTGCTCAGCAACAGGACTCAGATACAACTCTGATTGAATTAATTCTATCTGTGTGATTACTTAAATTAATGGCATTCTGGCTGCAAGTCACAAACTTCAAGAGATGTTCATCTGCTTAAATATTAATGATGCTTTTCTGCTGTAAGGTGTGAGAAGGGAAAGGAAAACTAAACACTAACAATTTCAGGAATAAGCATGAACAGCACTACAAGTATGAAAAATAAAAACTGTTTCACTCAGACAAATGCTGAAACAACCCACCTAAATCACTGCCCTCCCTCAAAGAGGCAAAAACCTGTGCTGTTAGATCTTGGTCCAGCGAAAAATGGAAGATCTCCTTTATTAAAGAAAAAAAGATTAAAAAAAGTTTTGAACTGTGATGAAAATACCTTGAGGTCTTGAGTGACTTTTGGCAAGTCCTTGTACGATTCCATGGGAATATAAAATGGAAACAGAGAGGATGTGCCCCGTGCTATTCCTCGCAGCAGCACCATAATTTACAGCAGTTCCATTCCCCTCAGTGCTATTTTAGATAATGACATTTACATTCTGTTACCTGTAATAAAAACAACTACGAAAAAGAAATGTAATTTGAAGTCTTAATATTAGATTTTTTTTTTCCCCATAAAGCACTTGATTGCAAGATTAGCCTTTTGGGATTGTTATCCAGAGTTCTGCTGGACCCTCTCCCCACTGTGCTGTTACCAGTTTGCTGGTTCATTCCTGCTCAAAAGACAGAATAACTTTTCTTAGCCTGTATTTGAAAGCGGGGTAAGCAGCTCCACGCTTTCTATCTGATCCTTTCTTCTCTTTAACCCTAAAACATATCCTTCCATCTCCACTATTATGAGCTGCAGGTTGGCCAATGGTCTTTTGTGGGATGAAAGGGAGCAGGGGTCTGGCATTTCTGTTGGATCTTGTGCCTGAGGAACAGCACAGTGCTACCAAGAGCCGTGTGAATGGGAGAGGTTACCCAGAGCCAAGGGCCCGCTCGCTGGGATGGCTCTGCACAACACTTCTGTGCCTTTGAAGAAGTTATCTGGGAAGCTCTGTGGATGTTCAAGGAAGAACAAGGTTGAAGGACATAAAAGGCTGTGCTGGAATTACGTGGAGCAAATGAAACCAGGCTGCAAAACTGTTATTGTCCTTTTCACACACAGCACAAGCTCAAAAAAACCTTTGTGAAGGTCTGTAAATGTGGAGGGGCTGCAGGGCAGACACTGAGGAAAATTAGCTCTCAAGGATTTGTCACACACTGATCCTTGAATCCCCAGTAACCCTGAACCCCCCAGCCCTACAAATGGGTTTTTCCTCACACTTTCTGAAGTGTATCTCTTCAGACAGAGCACAGCTCAGGTACCTGAGGGATTTCCACTCAGTCCAGCATCTCTCTTCACCAGTGTATCAGGTACCACAATAAATCAACTGGCACAAACAGCATCATCATCACTTATCCACAGTCTGCTGTGCAGTCTGAACACTCTGGCTCCAAACTGGGGAAGCCCTTTCCTTTGCCCTAAATCCATTAACTACAGGAGTAGCAAACTCTCCAAACTCTCTCACTTCCTTCAGCCAGTGACCTTGATAACTGAGCCAGTAGTGACACAAAGAGAAATTAAATCTATTAGTATCAAAAATTAAAACAAAGCAGCTTCTTGATATCGTGTCATACACAAAGTAATTCAAAGCAAAGTTACTTTTAGGCCGTTTTTCCATCTTTCACCGACAGTTTCACTAGAAAAAATAATATCAGAGCTAGCTGATTTAATGACCCTTCATTTAAAGGACAAGGTTGGGGTGGCTTTTTTTGTCCTCTTTGTAATTGAACTGTTCAAGCACAGATAGTCCTGTTATATCAATCACTGCATGAGTGAAAGGTGAATAAAAGCATTTACTGAACTGTCATATCCATGATAAAACAGCAGATGCTGCCAGCTCCAAAGGGAACACACTAGCAGAAGTAAGCCTGAAAGATAAAGGCCTATTAGTCATAACATGTCTTTCAATCACTTATTTATGTTAGCAGTTCAGCTTGGAAATAAAGTGAACATAGTGCTTACTTACAATAAATTAAGTTTAACTTTCCACTATGGTGTTCCTTAAACAATAATGGCACACTGATTTTTTTCCTTCAGAAACACATTTACCTTCACCACACTCAGGGTTTGCTTTCCTGAGAGCCTCCCTCACCTCTAGTTTTGTTACTACAACCCTCCTGGATGTAGAAACCCAACATCTTACCTTTTTTCCAGTGTTTTACTCCACAATTGATAATATGTTTATTAAACTGGTAGATCCTAAGCCTAAAACCAGATCTTCCTGGAGTGACTGGTTACTTCAGGACGCTGTAACAAACAGAAAGGCTGGATTGGCTTGGAAACATCTGCTTCTTCCCTATTCCTGGAGAGGAATTCTGTTTAGTAGAGGAAGGTAAAGACATGAGAGAGCACACAGGGCACTTCAGGAGCTGGAATATCCCACGGTGTCAGCTGTGACCAGGCACAGCTCCAAGCACATCCTGACTCCAGCCGAGACCTTGCCAGCCTAAAGCAGAGCAGAATTGTATCAGCTGCCTTGAAAGCCAAACCCTTTTACCTTCCCTTATGACACTTAGTTGTTTAGCAGCAACACAGCCTTGTTGCCTCATGTTCCACTTGCAAACTGCTACAGCCCCTACATCCCTTCCAAAGAGCTGCTCTCTTGTTCCCCTTCCCATCAGGTATTTGGGTAGTCAGTTAAGCCTTGCTTAGAACCACTTGTCCCTATTGAATTTCTTTGAATTTACGCAGTTAATTTGGTATTCTAATCTTGTGGTCCCATGTCTTTCCTTCCCATGTTATAGATCTGCAGTTTTAATAAGCACACTGCCCACTGCTCCCTCCCACAGTAACCACAGCTGGGAGCAGACACTGGTTACCCTAATCCAGTAGGAACACTGACATCACCTCTGAGCACAGCCCACTGTGGAAGCAGAGTTTGGAAGTCTACTTTTAGTCATCATGTGGGTCACGATCAACACCACATCCTCCCAGTCTGCTCTAAAACTTCATATTCCTATTAAAAGCCAAGATATTTGTTATTTTCACTCCAAGACCATTACCTCTGTCCTCTGAGAAAATTAGCCTGTGCCAACTCATTCTCCATAAACGTGAACAAATGAGGCTCATTCTCTACAAACCTACTCTGGCCACTGCGTTCTTTTACTTCTCTTCTGGGATATCTGCTGAAAAATGAGCTGCTGACATTACACATGCCTGGATAAATGCAATTACCATTAGGTTTTTTGGTATCCCATATTTTAACAATTAAAAATATGCAGAGCCCATACTCCCCCTTAGTCCTTAAGCTTGTTAGGTGAGCAAGAATGAGGGGGTTAGAGATGATCAGTCTGATCTAACCTGATCAGGCCTTCTTACCCAGAGCTTGTTAACGAGCTGATTTACCTACACCTCACTCATTCAGTAGCATTTAAGATAATCACAATTTTCTGTCCACAGCTGTTTTCCAATTCTGACCATTTGGCACAGCAACAGCAATCAAATGTGCTATTTCTGAAAGTCTGTTTGCTGTTAAACTGAAATGAAGCTATGAAAGCAGTGTCTAACATGGATGCTGTCACAAAACAGAAAAAATCATCTTTCTGCCACAAAACATTTGTGGCATTGTGAGATTCCTGTTGAATCTCCTGCTCTGCTTCCCCAGAAATCCCAACAAGTGGTTGTGTGGCTCTGGATGTCAAGGAAACCACTGTCCTTCCTTCTAGTGCCCTAATGCCTCCACAAGAGCTGTTTGTGATACTGCCAGTGATGACAAAAAGCACTGCACTGCAAATTCAGTGGGACTTTTTTATTTTAAACGTTTACAGAGATGGAAATAAATACAGGAAAGAGAAGATAGAGAGGGTGCTTTTAAAAGAAATCAATCAAGCCTTCATCAGGCTTCAAACAGGAAAAATTGTATCCGAGAGCTGCTTAAAACTGGCCACCATTCCAAAGGGCAGGGATTAGGTTAACAATAATGTAAATAACTAAAGATAAGCATTGCCACAAACAAGGGTGACACAGCAGTGAACACACAGCTGTAAGAGACAAAAATGGGACCACACTACCACAGGAGAGTCTCATATATTTACAACATACCTATCATACAAAATCATTTGGAAGTATTTAGGGAGTGGTTTCTTCTCTGTCCAACTGTAAGATATAAAAGATACACCAGAGGGTTTGTTGGGTTTGTTCCTCTCCCCAGTAATAGTTTCCGCTTTTGTCAAAGTTTAGAAAATCCTTGGTATTGCAAATCTCTCATCCAGCCTGGACTTCTCCACATTTCCATCCTTATCATCATCATCATCACTGTCATCCACTGGGGCAGTTGGTCAGGAGACAAGAGTTTGTGAAGTTCTTTACAGTCTTTTATCGATGGTCTGACCTGTAGGTTGGAAAAGTGTCCGTGCGATGAAGCTTCACTGGGCTGGAAACATCTTCGCCAAGTCAGATGTGAAAAAACAGAAGAACCCTCAGTAAGACACAGGCACCTCAGTCAGTGTTTTACACAGGACTATGTGAACTTCACAGAATTTTAATTAAACCTATCCCTGCTTCATCTGCTGCTCCATCTCAGAAACATCTGCACCCGGATTTTCTTTACCATTTCCTTCAGAACAGAAATTTGTACAAAGCAAATTAAGTTTTTTAAAGCTCTGAATTTGCATTTTAAATGAAAAATGCACTTTAGCTCCCAATATGAGCAGCAGATCTTTCCCATACATTAGAAAAGAGGACAAGAACCAATTCAGAAATCACTAGCCCAGGTTGTTCAGAGCCCCATCCAACCTGGCCTTGGACACTTCCAGGGATGGGGCAGCCACAGCTTCTCTGGGCAACCTGTGCCAGGGCCTCTCCATCCTCACAGGGAAGAATTGCTTCCCCATATCCCATCTAACCCTGCCCTCTGTCAGTGTGAAGCCATTCCCCCTTGTCCTGTCACTCCAGGTCTCCATCTTTCTTGTAGCTCCTTCAGGCACTGGAAGGCCACAATCAGGTCACCCCAGAGCCTTCTCTTCTGTAGACTGAACAATCCCAATTCCCTCAGCCTTTCCCCATAGCAGAGGTGCTCCATCCCTCTGATCAACTTGGTGGCCCAGAATTTGGGAACCTGATCTAATTACATACCACTGAAGAAGGAGCCCTGACTGCTGAGTAACATGAGGCCTTTAGTGTCTCTCTTAATTCCAACATTAGCTGCCTGACTGACTTATTCCACAAAGACTTTGACCCCCTTCTCATGACAACACACTCTCCTAAGGATCCTTTTTTCCCAGTTTAGCAAGGAAGCTATTTTTCTAAATATAAACCAAGTAGTTTGTGCCCATACAGTCTATTTGTCTTGTGTCAACTCTGAATTAATGTTTTAATAAAGGTCTCCACAGTAAGGCATGGCAAGCCCAGTGCACTGCCTGTGTGCCACAGGCTGCCACCAGCAGCTCATCTTCCCATACCCTGATTTATTGAACAGCCACGTTAAATGCTGCGTTTTTATTCATCCCTCTGGTTAACCGAGCCTTTCCACGTGCTGCCTGCCCCCTCTAGTGTTGGAAAAAAGGAACAAGGAAAAATATTGCCTTTTAGGGGTTTTTTGTTTGTTGTTTTGTTTTTGGGGGGTTTTTTTTAGTTTTTTTTTCCTGAAAGCCAGAGGACCAGACTAGAATATGGCTACATGTGTCAGGGCTGTAATTTTTAATCACAGATGGTGACATTCCATGTCGTGGAGGTGTTAAACTCCACAGGATTTATTTAAAAAAATAAAATAAGTATTTATCACCCATTATTCCTTGAGAAATTCCTGGAATATGAGAGGAGGGGAAAAAAGAAAGTTCTGGCAGGTTCTTGCTCCCTCCACTCAATACTCCAGGCTGCTGCATTCAATTAAGTGTTTAGCCTGTTTTCTGCTGGCTTTTCCAACACCCTGATCCTGACCCACAACTCACTGATACCAACTTGCTGCACCAACACAAACTCAGCCAATCCATGGAGCTGACAGTGGAAGAGCATGCTTGAAATACAAATGGGGTTTTGGTTGGAGTTTTTAATTCTGAAAACACACAGAACTACACAATGCTGACTTTGGTCTGAGCACCAGCAGCTCCTACTCCAGGTGCCTCTGGGGAAACCAGCACAAAGTATCAGTTACACACGTGAGATGCTGTGGTTTCCACTCTCTCAGGAGACTGAAGTTCAGATTCTAAACACTCTCTGAAACACTTGGAGGGCAGAGATGCTTCCCTGACAGCCTTCCTGCCTGCAGGAGCAGTGGGGTCCCTCCCACCCGATCCAGGCACTCAGGAACCACTAGATGTCCCTTGGTGACAGCAGAGGGACCACTGGGAGCATCTCTCCCTCTCTGCAGACCCAGGAGGTGCTCAGGCATGAGGGGACTGAACTGTGCTGCCCCTTGGACTGGCAGCAAGGAGGGGATTTGGAGAAGACACCTGCCCACTTCTGGGCCACACTGCACTGCACAGTGGCAGCACTGCAGCTGCTCAAAAAAGTTTTCTAGAATTACTTATCATGGCCATTTCCTTTTACTTTCCCTATTCCAGCTATTTTTGAGGATATGGCTGCATCACTCTTAGCATGAGGCAGCCACCCAAACGGGAGGGGAGCCAAATGGGTTTAAGTCTGGCAAAAAATCAGGTGCAGCTAAGGGTTTGGTAGCAGAAAGGATTAGGCACATTTGGTAACTGGCCATCCTGTAGAAATGGTCAGAAAACCTGCCAAATGAAGGATCCCACTCCAACAGGAAGTAAGAAGAGGAGAACATACTGATGACAACCCCTGTGCCAAACTGTCCATCCCAACAAGGTCCTCTGAGTTCTCTATATATGTAAAACTCTCACATCAGCCTAGTTGTTGGTATTTCTCTCTTTGAGGGGAAAATGGAAGCACTTGCAGGGGGACAGGGTGGGGGGTACAGTGTGACTTCCCACAGCACTGAGCCTCGTGCCCCAGCTCAGAGCAGCATCACAGAGCCTCTGAGCACAATCCCTTGAGTTTACACCCCCTGTCTGCCCTGTCCTGTCCTGCCCAGGTTTCAGCAGAGCCTTTCTGACCTCGAGCTGAGGGAACGTGCCTTCTCTCCCTCAGCCCGACGGCAGCGGCTCAGCCTGGACATCACCCTGCAGTGGGATGGACAGACAGGGCAGTGCCCCAGCAGTGCCAGGAGCTGTGCCCTGACCCCCCCTTACCTTGCAGGCCGTAGAGCTGCCCCGTGCTGTGCTGCCGGGTGATGTGGTGCCAGTAGGCGCTGCGAGGCAGGGGCACCATGGCACTGAGGGACACGGCGCGCTCGCTCAGCTTCAGCTGCAGCTGCAAAGGGACACGAAGGACACGGTCTGAAACAGCACCACCTCTGCCTGCAAGAAGTTCTAACAAAACAACCAGCACAGCCTCTCACTCCCTCCCTCCCTCTGCCCCCTGCACAGCAGCAATGACTAACTGGTTAGTCTCCACAGCAGCGATGACTAACTGGTTAGTCTCCACGGCAGCAAGGACTAACTGGTTAGTCTCTAACACACCATGGGTTAGGAGGCCACGCTGCTGTTTCACACCACAGCTCACCTTGGTGCTCCCCTGGTCCTGGGCAAGCCCTGCTTCCCCCGAGGGGAGTCCTAACCCAAGCAGCTGAAAGAGAAACTGGGGATCAGCAGAAGGCAGGGCAGTGCTGGTGTGCTCCCCCTTTGGCAGCACAGCCAGCAGAGGGTCTTCCCAGCTACACAAGCAACTTCCCAAAGCTAAATACAGCCCCAGCACACTGAGAACCTGACTGGATATGTCCCATGTGTGAGGACAAGTTGTTCTCGTTTGTTTTGAGGCATTTTCTATTCATCTCCCCTCTCCTACAGCTGAGGACCTTGCCAGCTGGATGGCACAGGAGTCCAACAGGAGATGGATAACTGCATCCTTCACCAAGATTCCTCAAATGAACAGCACATCCAAGTGTGCTCAGGAGGGCACGTGGGCTGCAGTGCACTGCTGGGAGCCCCATCCCACACTTCCCCTGCATACAGGGCCTTCAGCTACATTGTCTTACATAATCACAGCCCCCTGTTATTTATACTGGATCTAACACAAAAATACATGAGAACTGACTACTTCAAGGCATTCTTATATGAATTCAATAAGATATATGTGCAAGCTGATAAAAATATTTGGATTTTATCATAAGCTTCAGAATAACCCTAAGAGAAGCTCAGTTAAAGCCTGGTGCAAATAAAGCCAAGGTTGTGGGTTCAATCCCTGTGTGAGCCATTCACTTAAGAGTTGGACTTGATGATCCTTGTGGGCCCCTTCCAACTCAGAAAATATGTGAACTCTCTGAAAATACAGGTAAAATTCTCCTCCCAAAGCTCAGGGAAACACCATTCAAACATACCAAGGCTCAACTAGACTTTTCTAATTTATGAAGACAGTTTTTTACAAAAGAGTAAGTTTTACATTTTAGTTTCACAAAACCAGAGGTGACAGCACTTTTTACAAGAAAATTAGTATATTTTGGAGCAAAAGCAAACAGGTAAAGCAAGCACAGAAAAGGGGTGAGGGCTGAGTGTATCCAAAGAGACCAATTTCCAAGTTATTCCGAAGTGCTTTCTACCTTCAACCTCCTCTCTGTGCAGTGGACACCTGTGATGTGAAGGTAAAACTAAACCAAATCAAGCCCAGCTCTGAAAACACCCACCTCCACATCAGCTGGATGTGAGTCACTGCACCAGGACCCACCTACACCATGTTCATCACAGTTCCCTTGCAGTGTCACCACACACACACCTTGGCACCATGGAAACAACCAACCAGGGATCTTGTACAGGGAATACCAATCAGGGATGATGGCATTTCTCAGCTGTAGGTATCTCTTGTGGAGGTTTTATTTACTGGTGAGTTGGACAGCAAGCTAAGGCAGTTCAAGCAATAGTTCAGCTGTCAGCAGGAGTACAAAAACCAACAGGCTGGCTTGGGAGACAAAAAACCAGAGACACAGCCAGAGAAAGACTAAATAATGACACAGAAAAGGGCCTGAACTCAATCAGCAGGGGAAGAAGTTAAAAAGTCCAGAGCTGAAGATAAGAATTACTGTGTTCTGTGCTGAATACACAGCGTCTCATCAAACCACCTCGGCCTGCGAGCACTGGCGGCTTTAATGGTGATCGATTCCATTCCCACAATTAACCTACTGCATCTCTGTGGCAACACAACGAGGAGGGATAAGTTGCTAACGCCCTGGCTCTGTGCCACAGGAGCACCCAGAGCTGGGAGCAGGTCCCACAGCCAGCATTGACATGCTGGAGCACGTCAGGGCACAGGCTGGAGCCAGGCGGGACGTGCGGTTCCACACATCATTAACACAGTTAATAAACTGATAACCAGAGGGCACCAAATCTCCACCCTCACCCATTTCTGCTCAGAGGAGGAGGAGAACGAAGCTGAGCAGGGATCAGGATCCCCAGAGAGACTCAAACACAGCACCCTGCACATAAAGCAGGCAGCAAGTGATGCTCGGTCACGCTTAAACCCACACAGCAAAGACGGGAGGAGCTGCGAGGGACAACCCAAAGCCACCCCACAGCTCTGGATGCTGCAAGAGACCCATGGAGGAAGGGGATGGAGCAGCTCCCAGCCACTGTCAGGAGCAGCTGGGGAGCTGCTGCCCCACCTCTTGACTTCTTGTCACCTGGATGGTGACACCAGCTCTGGGCCAAACACAGGGTGCTGGGTCTCAGAAGTCCTGGGGCTCGCAGAGGAAAGATTAAGTATTTTCTTTCTTAGATCCCACCTTAACAAATCAGCAAAATTGCATTAAAAATTACAAAAATTTAGAAAAAGTACTGAAAAAAAAAACAAACAAACCACAAAATCAGGAAAAAAACCCAAACAAACAAAAAAACCCCAAAAGCAAACAAAGAAAAAAAAAAAACTAATAAAAAGCCTCTGCACACCAGTGTTCTCTCAGGTTAGCCGTAAACATGGCTCCAAAGGGAAAGAAAATAAAGATGATTTAAAGTTTGTTAGGTTTGGTTGGTTTCCTCAGGCTGGACAACCTAATTTTCAAAGGTTTTGCAGGACAACTAGCACTTGAGGCAAACCTTCCTCTTGAAACCTCCCCCTGGAGAAGACTGCACTTGCTGTGGTTTTGGGGGGGATTTTCTTCCCAGCAAATCGATCAAAATCAATTTGAACAATAATTGTTTAAGAAACATTTGCAACTTCATTATAGGAAAACTACAGACTGGTCAAGTAATAGCAACAACTTCAGGCATTAAGGGGCATCAACATATTGCTGCTGTTTTGGCTACTCTCTGTCTTGCACTAATGGTAAATATTCTAGAAGTTAACTCTGAGTTAATTCTGAGTTAATTCTGAATTTCTGTGGAAGTGGCCAGAGCTAACAGAAGCTCCAGCCTGGACAGGGACACATCAGATGGAACAAGTGCAAAGTGCCCACTTCAAGAGGGAAGAAGAGTCAGGGAAGGCTGCAGGAAACTGGCTGATAATCCGTTTCCATGAAGCACTGAGCTTTAGCTGCCAAGACTGGGAACTTCACAGTTATTATTTCTTAGTGAGGTGTCAGGTTCTAATGTCTTTTTTAAAGCAACCTGAAGAGAGAGCAGTGAAGTCACAGCACTTGCTCCCATCAGTTTTCATGGTAACCAAATCCTCACGAAAATATAACCTGAAGAGGTATTTTCTTTCCATTGCCTGGCAAGGCCAAAGTGAAAGGAAAGAAACATTTGGATGGGATGGGTTACCAAATGACCAGAATGGTTTCATGCATCACTAAGCAAAGCCAGCTCATTCTTGCCTTTAAGAGAGAAAAGGGAGAGAGCTGTGGATACACCCAGAAGGAAAACAAGCGACCTCCAGTTGTGGAAGTGTCCCAGGCTGGTGAGCACGTGCTCAGACCCGGGCATGAAGCAGCAGCAGCAGCATGTGTGAGGGTGAGGTTCTACCCCAGGAACTGCTTTGCACCCACTTCCCATCTCAGGAGCCAGAGCCAGCTCCAGTCACGCTCTGAACCACGTACTGGGTGTGCAGGAGTGACTGCCAGGGAGGTGACAGACACATCAGAGCCCACGTTCTCAGCAGAACTTGGCAGCTCTATTTCACTCTGTCAGCATGGGATATTCAACTCTCTTTTTTCCTTTTCCTTGCACAGGCTGCAGGAACCCTCAGGTAGATTAATAAAGCCTTCCCCTCAGCCTTGGATAATCACTCCAGTGATATGGCAGTGGTCAGGATTCCAGGAGCAAACGGAACACACTCAGCATAGACTTCATTTCTCACCACCACATCTCCTACTTTCTTCTTTTACTTACCCTTTCTGTAAATAACAACTCAAGCTTCACTAATACAAAGAATCCACACAGAGTAAGTAAGTCTTGGAGACAGAAACAATATAGAAAGCTGAGGATGAGGTGCAAGCCCCTGAAATAAACTCCTCGTCGAGGTGTTCAAAAGCAGAAGAAAAATACAGGGGAAATCAATCAATTTGAACAAAGAGGTACTTTACAAATATTTTGTAATCAGCAAAATAAGCCACAGGAGTTCTACACTGATATAACAGCCCTCTGCCTAAATTTTTAAATCTGAATCCCAGATTTAGAATCTTGAACCCGAGAGAAGCCACTGAGCCTTAGTGAGTATTTTGGAACCAGGCAACATTCCTATGGCAGGCTTGGGAAACTCATATTCAGGGGCACATGGACTCCTCTGAAACAATTGTATTCTGCTACTAAATTACAAGACTTTCAGCTCATCAGGAATATGTTGTTATTCCCTACTTAGGAATCTAGGATCTATAAAATTAGATTTAGGGATTGTGGTCATTCATTGAAAAAGCTTTGAGAGGTTGTGCAGCTGCTGCCTATTGAAATCTACAGCAGCTCTGCATCTGTGCAGTCTGTTGGCATTTGTAAGATGGGAACTTTACAGTGCAGCATCAGACATCATCTATTAAAGATGCTATTTCATAAATGCAAAGCCAACAAATATGAAATTGCCTTTAAAACTATTCACTGTTGCTTCAGAACTGATCCCTGCTGCTTGAAAATGAAGTTGTGCTCTCAACAGGTTACTTGATCACTTCTGATCCTGGTGGATACAAATGTTAGTTACACTGACCTAGCCTAGGTTAATTTTAATCTGCTTAATTTAGTCACTGTTGAGCACTTATCTAACAATCTATCTCAGTTTTGGATATTTTTCGACTAGAACTCCTTTAGTTAATTAGAACTAAAAGGTTCTTGGTTTTAAACAAAAGCCAAACCCAGCAAAGATTGTGGAAGAACAAAAGGACACCAAGTACTTAAAACAGTTTGTTCCCTTCTCCATCCCCTCCACATCCACACTCATCTTTACTAAAATTTTCACAGTAATAATGGCATTTTCTGTTTCATCCCAGCTGGTTCATCCAGTTAATACTGGGATAATTCATTACTACAACTTATCCCTGAAACTAAGACAGTAGAATTACTGAAAGGATTAGACATGGATAACAGCAGTGCTTATGTTTACAGCAAAGGAAAGAAGAAAGACTTGTTGCAGATTACTACTGCTTGGAATAGAGATGTTGTTTATAGCCAAGTTCTTCCACAGTTGTCCTTTCTGTGCATTCTATATATTCCAGAAAACCTCTTATCTTCAGGATACTAATTTTGCTGCCAGAGTCACCCTGTGAGTCCTGCAGTGCAGAGACCAATTGAGAAATGAGATAAACAAAACACTCCTTCTCACTCTACAGGCTTCATAAGCAAACACAAAATTAAATTAGAAGTTAATAAGACCCTGAAACACATTAGGTGCAAGTGCCACAAAACTGCCTTCCTTAGACATAAAGCTTTTGGAGATCCTTCACTATTTTTTTTGTTAGTTTTGCATCTTCCACTTCTATATTTCCTACCAGTCATGTGTGTCATAAACCAAGTTTTAGATACAAAAAGCACTTGTGGAAAACAGATATTCACTGAGAGATCAGGCAAACACCTAGTCCTCTCCATGGTTTAATGTGAACCATATGACTCTTCCCAAATCTTCAGTAGGAAATGGAAAATTGAGCACGAGCCACAACTTTTTGCAAATGGACTGATAAGAAATGCTTCCAACCAAACTCATGATGCTGATTCATCAAAGGAAACTAATGAGAATGTGCATTTATCTCTGTATCAATTCACACTTATTGACAGCTTTGCAAACACGACGATCGAGGACTGAAAGTTTCCCTCTTGTTTTGATCCTTGAAAAGGAATTGCAGTTATACATATTACCCTACAGTTTATAATCAAACAGAATTTAATAAGAGCAATAACCAGAATCCTTAAATCAAAACTTAAAATTCCACCAAAGACACATATTGGTGGTTGGATATTCCAGCCTGGAACACCAGGCCTAACAAGCAGCCATACCATGGAATTTTTCACACTCTGCAGCAAACGCTCGTGTTGTTCTGCTATGGCCAAAGCAGCTGAGTGAACCTTCTGATAGATTGCTTCCCCATCCCTGGTCTGAAAGATGAACAGTCCTTCTCCTGTGTCACACATCCTGCCAAAGCAAGAGCAGAAGGGATCCAGGTGTGAGATGGAAGTTCACAGGTCGCCACGAACAAGCAAAACTTTCCCGTGCTGCTCTAGAAGTGTCACTGCACAGGCAGTGAGAAACAACGGTGGTTGAAATAGGGAACAAAGTTATTTGAAAGTCTTTGCCCCTGGTTCTTAGCAGCCCTGGTCCAACCTCACTGTTTCAGGCCATATTTGTGTTGTCCCAGCCAGGGACTCAGCTCAGCACTGCTGATCTATCACAGGCTCTGGAGAGTTCACACACCAGACCCAGATTTTTTATATTTAGACTCCATCTAGAATCTGTGCCAGGTAAGATTAATTTGTCTTTCCCCTTCAGACTTTTAACACTGCCAGTAATGAGTTTTGCACAGCTTTATCTTCCACTTGAAACAATAAATACAAATCCTCTGCGTCCCAATTGCATTGTCTTGATGCGTTATCAGCTAAATGAAAATGTATTCCTTCCCCTCCCCAAGAGGGCTAAATCCTGCATAATATGGAGGATGGAAATCCAAATGCCTTTTCTCTGCCCAGATAAGTTAATTGTATGATCTGTTTCTCTTTTACTATTGTAATTCTTTAATGTGCTGATCTAAAATAAAGCATCCATATCCCCTGAGAATTATTTGATAGTTGAGTTCAACAACTCCAGTGCTTCAGCTCCAGCCAAAGTCTTCAGTTCATTACAACAGAGCTGCAGGAGCAATACAGAACATCTCTAAACCAAGGAATTGCATTTCACATTTCATATAAATCCATTTGTTGAAAAACAAACAAACAAACAAAAAATCAGTGGAAGACAGGAGTCCCTTCTCCTTTAGTTTGCTTTTGGTAAACAACTTGGCACTCACTGCCCTCAAGACCAAACTCCACTTCTCCTGATACAGACCCCATAACTCTCTGCCCAAAGGTCCACATTGTACAAATTCTGGAATGATGTTCACCTCTTCTTCCCAGATCTGTCCCTCCAGTTCTCTGGCTCATATACTGCTTTATTTAAGTATAACTCTATACAGTAACATCCAACACTGTCCCCCTCCAGCCTGCCATCCCCTGGGATACCTCAGCTCTCCCACACCCACCCTCAGGCACATTTATTTGGCAGCTGCTTCCATCCAACCGGGATTAAGATGGTTTTTGTTTGGTTTTATATTTGTTTCAATATATTTTTACTTTTTTAGGATCGGGTCCAGACTGGCGTCTGGCTGAAGGTCAACACCTTTCAGAAGTGGCCCAGAGCACCACCCAGCAGCACCAGGAAATAAAAGCAATATATAATAATAAAATAAACCCAGACCTACCTCCCTGCTTCAAAGGTGAACCACGAGGGGTCCCGCCCGTAGCGTCGGAGGGCACTTAATGGCCAAGAGACGAGTTTAACTCTGGGATTCTGGATGTCCCAAAGACAGATATTCTCAAATGTTATCTGCAAGGTACATTCCCCATGCACATCTAAATTAGGGGATGGCATCAAATACACATTGAATCTCTCTGGGAGAAAAACAAAAGGTTAGTCTAAAATCCCTGCCCGTTACATGTGCAAGTCATTCAAGGAATTTCCTATTTTCCAGCTCTAATACATGATATTATTTCCACTTAGAACAACTAATTCAGAAACAAAGACTCAGTTCCTTCCAGTACTCAATGAACTCCAGGCTTGGGGCAGTCAGAATGCTGCACTCAAACATTTGTGCTTTCAGAGCCTGAAGAGATCTGCACCAGCACAATCCTGATATTTGCAAACAACTACTAAAATTGTGTGCAATAATAAATACATTGCTTGTGCAGGTAATTAGTTAATTTGCATAGGAAAGTGAAGTAGCCATGGGCTCAAGTTTTGCATGCAATTACTATTATTTATTATTTTCTTTACAATGCTGCCAAAGTGCCTCCATCACTGACATCATACAAGAAAACACACAACAAAAGACAGTTCCCATCTCCAAGAGCAACTAACTTGTCTGAGAAAGAAAAGTGCTGCTCCAAAATAATTCTAGTTACCTTACTTATTATCTCTGGCAGCAATTAAAAACAGTAGTCAAAAAATAACCCCTCAAACAAACAAAACCAACCCCCACAAAACCGGAAGGAGGGCTTGGAAAAGCAATTTGCTCCTATTTATTTCTAATATCCATATGTACAGTTCAAAACTTTAAAACAATGCCATTAAAAGGTGAAAAGGTCAACATTTATGTACCTACCACTCTGCTCCCTCTCTACTCCAGATGCCAACAAGTCAGGCTCTCCAAGGCTAATGTCATTAATCCGTGTTCCAAGACACTCCATCTGCAGCACCTTGCACCACTCATCTGCCTCAAGTTCTGTATAAATGCCCAAAAATCTGCGTGTAGGTATATAATAATTTATAATTCCACGATTAATGCTCTTATGTTTTCTAATGTGTGTTACCATTTCACCCACCTGACTCACAAGCAAAGGTTTTGGAGGTGTCATCACTGAAATAAATCCCCACAGCGTGTTTCTTAGTGCTTTTTGGCATCCTTAATATATTCTTCACATTGTTGAGCTCCGTGACCTGAAAAAGCACAATTCGGAATTTTAATTAGGAGCTTGAAAAGAGATATATCCATTATTGACTGGGCAAGGAGAGGAGAGAATTATATCATGATGGAAAGGAGAGAGAAAAGGTGAGACAGCACGAAGAGGCCTGTGATTGCTCTCAAAGAAAGGCAGCCTTGGCAGGAATCACCTCAGACATTCCCCCTGAAGACACTGGAATATGAAGCAGCCACATCCTGCAGCCTCTCCTGTCTGCACATGAGCTTCAGTGTGACACCATCCCAGCAGAATTTTAGCCAAGAGGTGGAATCAAAGCTCCCTCCAGTCTGAGAAATATTGACATGAAGGGCATGAGAAAGACCAGCCTGATGCAGCAGAAGCAAAGAGAGGTGAAGATGAAAGTCTAAAGGATTCACCCATTTGGAGGAGCAAGTTCTAGTACAGCTTTCATCGTGGAGGACAAAGCTGTAGAATGGTGAAAGCTGCTCACTAAATTATTGTTTGATGGAAAGTTGAGGATTTGTTAGAATGGTCCATTTAAAACAAAAAAAAAAAACAGTTTTAGTTATTAGAAAGTGGTTCAGATTTAAAGTTTCGGACTTGTAAACAAAGATTTCTGTTGCCAAATACTGTTTGGAAAAACAGCTTTCATACCTCAAATAAACAAACATGGATCTGTTACCTTATATACAGCTTTGGTAAATACACACCAGGTGCCTTTATATTTGTAACATGCACTTTTCACCCTCCCAACCCACAAACAATGCTCTTAAATTTGACTGAGGAGGAATTCCTCATTATTTAAAATAATTTTAATGTAAAGGCTAACTCTCAACAAGGGAATCAGGAAGTTTCATTTAAATAGTCATTATCAGAAAATATTTCACTGATTCTTTTACACAGTAAGGGTTGGGGGGAGAGAGAGAAAGGGGGATAATTTAGCAGAGCTGTGCAACCCAACAACTTCACTCCTTTGGTTTGTTGGTTCTGTGGACTAGTTTCATATCCAGCTGTAACTCTAAACAAAGAAACCACAGCAATTGTCTTATAAATAAGACACAGGAATTATAAAGAGTTATCAGTGCTGAAGGTTTCGGCAACAAAAACCCCTCCTCTAGAGCATGCTGGGGTCAATCAGCATTTCATCCTAAGGCACTTTCTTCTTGGAGTCAATTTATATGCCCAGCCCCTTCGAGCAGCAGAGAACTGACAGCCAAAAATCACACTTCCAAGCAAGACCCCTGAAAAAGGGGTTCTTACTGGGAATGGAAGGAACAAAGAGCAGCTCATGGGGAACATTTCTCCAAAATAAAAATAAATGACAGATCCAATGGCAGGAAACTCATTTTATGGGCAGAAGTAGAAGGACATAATGGAAGGAACAGCCCATGGGAACACACCAAACCTTCTGCAGAGCTGCCAAATTTAGAACTCAGGTTTTTATAGCCTCCAGGTTGAAGATTTTGAGAAGTGTCAAAACGGAGGCTTCCTAATTGTGCTTAATTTTGCAAGAGGATTTTTTGCTCTTCCAGAAAATCCTGTGATGGGAGCACATCCCCCAGTGCTAACCAGACACCAACAAACTCCTTGCTAAATATGATAAATCTGTCATAACCTATTCCCACCGTGCTCAGTACATGACAGGTCAAGCACAAATTGCCAGCTGCCAAGCTCCAATATATTTTTCTCAGATGTCAAGAAAGGATTCAAATGCAAGAGGAAATAAAGAACCAGACTTTTTCATTCAGGACAGCAACTACCTTGACATTTAGACTGAGCACATTTACATTTCCTGCAAGGGAATGTGCTAATGAAGCTTTGTACCTTCGACTATCAAAGTCAGCAGAATGTAGTCTTACATTTTGGAAATGAATCATTTACCTACCTTGGATTTGAGCTAATGGAAAGCTCCATTCTGAAAATTAGGCACATCACACTCCTACTGCTGGATATCCCACTGTCTCCAGCACGATGAATCCTGAGGATGCTGACAGGGCTCGGTGTGATCAGGAAAGGTTTGCACTGGTCAGAAAATAGGGAATTGCCTCTCTGTGCTGGCTCAGGAGCCAAAAGCACTTTCAGCAGTGTCAGAGGCACCAAGTGAACCCCATCAGCCCTGGGCTGGGAGATATCCCACATCCCCGGTGAGGGAGGTGGGATAATGAAGGGACTTAGGACAGAGCTTTAAAAACACATTAAATAAAATAATTCACAAAGAGGCTCCTGCACAGGGGTGGGAAAGGAAAATAACCCACCCAAACAGAATCACTGTTGCCCCTGTGTGCAGCCTGAGTCAGGCACCTCCAGCCCACATGGGAGCACATTCATCCCGCTGGGAGTGAGAGAAGGACAAGATTAAAGCATTTGCTTTGTCTGCCCTGTACTACAGACACTCCTGATCACTGTTTCTCTTACTGTGACTCCAGCCTCATACCTTTTCCCTTCACCACTCCCAGCATCCCTAAGATCACAACCCCCAAGTTGACGTGTGTTTTATTCTCCCTAGGGCTGTGAGCTGCAATTCCTGCCCTATCTCCTTACATGAGCCCTGGCACAGAGCATCCACCACCCATTTTCTCTCATTTCTGTACCACTGGAGAGATTCTGGACTTTCCAGTCTCTGCACTCCAACCTCCAGCTCATCCCTGCCCACCCAGAGGCTCCCAGCCTTGCACACTGCACGTGTCACATCCACCTTGCAGCTCTCCCAGGACTGTGTCAGCTCTGAATCCAGCCATGGGGAATGAGATTTGCTCTTGCCATACCTCAGATACCAGGATCTCCCTCCAAGAGAGCAAAAGCCCTGGCTTACAGCCTGGTCAAAGGAAAGGGCACATGATTTCACCCCCTGAGTGACGTCTGAAATCAACAGTATTATGTCATTAATGTCACTGATCATCAAATCCTTTGCAATTCATGTTTTAGCTGTGAACTGGGGGAGAAAAAGAAAGGGTATTTATATTTGGAGAAATCTAGCTACACCATTTGGCAGCTCCTGAGTTATTTTGTGCTGCACTGACTGCCTGAGAGCTCTGTATAATGGCATTTCACAGGGCACAGCCTCAAAGCCTTCACATGCATCTCAAGGCTTCCTGGTGGCTTCTGTTGAGCTGCACAAGATGCCACCAAAGCATCTCCCTTTGGAGGGTGACAGCCAGACAGCCCCTGTTCTGACCCCTGACCCAGGTCCAAACGTCTGCAGCAAAATGCACATGCTCTGGGCTCCTCCCAGAGAGTTCCAGACTAAGGTTTCCTTCACTACCAGGCATAGATGGACAAAACCTGTCACTCTGGGGCTCTCTCTGAGGCCGGTGGCACAAGCGGTACCCTGCACAAGAGTCCCCAGAACCCAGAAGCCCAGAACTTCTGTCCTGGGCACAACCTTGTGGCACCTGATTTTTATGTCTGGCAAAACAACACTCAATAAGCACCTGCCCTCTCTTCCTTTGGGGGCTGAAGTTGCCTTCACCTCTCAGAGGCCCAGAGATGCTCTCCACTTTGTTAATGGCTCTTCTGGCAAGATCCAGCTTTAGCCAAGAAGTAATTCCTGCAGGAGGGCTCCACATCACACCTGCACCCCTGAGGGAGATGTCACCTAAAGATCACAATATTTGACCTGCTGTGTCACCCACAAGGGACTCCAAAACACCCTTGTTATCCCAGATGACTAAACAGCCTCCCTGTTGCTCACCCTTGAGCAACAGATGGTTCCAATTGTCTGGCACATTCGCACCCAATTCACACCGAGGAAGTGACAGGCTGCAAACACCCCCTCACCAGCTCTTGGAAAGGAGTCAGGAGCAGGCATCAAACACCTGCAAATATCTCAGGCTCGAGTTTTCTTTTTTTTTTTTTTTTTTTTGCATTTTTAAATAACTCTCCTCCTGTCAGGCTCTCGCAAAAGAAGTGTTTTCATGATTAGTTCAATTCACGTAGGTTTTGTTTATAAGAGATTAGCAAATAACGTATATTTATCAACATAATTCTAAAATTCTAAACCACAAATATCAGATCTAAGACAGTGTTAACAGAGAAATCACAAGAAGAATGTTTTATAAGGGGTTAAAGACCTCCCTTTGCATACTTGCCCCCTCCTCTTTACTCTCAAGCCTCCTTTACATTAGGATGACAATCCATATAATTGAAATACATTTCATTAGATTAAAAACTAAAATGCTTGCAGAGATGTGTGGTAAGAGAGTTCTGAACCAGGAACAGGGATTCATCATTCTCTTCCCAGCTGACAGAACAAGCAGACAGAGCTTCACCCTGACAGATGCACTCAGACAAAATTCTTCCATCTCTCCCATTCCCTTCAAAAACATGCCAAACACACAGTTTACTAAAAACGATCTTTAGCATTCAAGCTATTGTTTGAATTAGTGCATAATTCTCAAATATGGGGAGCCTTTCAGAACACAACACAAGGGAGTATATTTATTGCCTACACACCTGTCATACTACTGGTTCTCACGTACCCTGGGTTTTAATCTTAATTAAGGACTCTGGTTCTGTCTTGGCTTACTGAAAATTGCCCCCATGATGAGTATACATCTAACATTTCCCTGGACACCCCAGGGGAACATTTAATGCAAAATGCTACTGCTCAGTTCTGCTTATAAGATTTGCCTGCACATATCTAACTTACTAATATAAATACCATGCTAAAATTTTATATTGAATCACAGAATGGTTTGTGGAAGTGATCTTAAAGATCATCTCATTCCACCCCCTCCCATGGGCAGGGACACCTTCCACTAGCCCAGGTTGCTCCAAGCCCCGTCCAACCTGGCCTTGGACACTTCCAGGGATGGGGCAGCCACAGCTTCTCTGGGCAACCTGTGCCAGGGCCTCACCACCCTCACAGCCAAGAATTCCTTCCCAATATCCCATCTAACCCTACTCTCTGGCAGTGTGAAGCCATTCCCTCTTGTCCTGTCACTCCAGACCCTTGTAAATAGTCCCTCTCCATCTTTCCTGGAGCTCCCTCAGGCACTGGAAGGCCACCATTAGGTC